CGCAAGCTGATATGTACCAATTAGAAGAAAGGTACTTATCTTCTAATGTACAAACACTCCTTAATAAATATTTTCAAAATACAGACATGAGATAAAACTATGAAATTGTCGGCATAGCTACAAGTCTGGTTAAAAGTTTCACAAGTCTAATACATTATACAATATGTAATTCAAATTTCGACGTCAACTAGCAAATGCTTTGTCTGTTGCATTGTTGATTTAATGCACATTTCAAAAAATATCTGTTCTTTAATACACCAGGGGAATATTTTTTAAGACTTTATGAAAAAAAAAATTTTTAATGTAGGCTAATATTGATTGAAGAGTTAATAACAAAAAGAAGCTAATATTCTGCATTCTTTGCAATTGTAATATTCAAATTAATTCAAATTAATTTTAACTTTTTTATTTTTTTTATTTTTCATATTTTTTTATTTTCATAATTGATCATTCTGACAGCAGATGAGTTCTTTATTTGTAGAATCGAAAATCTGAAAAAAAACAAAGTCCATCAAAAAACTGGTTAGTTCTTAAATTATTTGCAATAATTCTTGTGCATATCGTCAAACCTGCAGAGCAAAACAACTGGCATTTAACGTAACATTAATAATTGGTCATATCAAGACAAGTGAGTAAATAATACTCAATACATACTAGGGCACTACAGTCAGCTGTTGGTCAAATTTAATACAAAGGTTTCATAAAACGTATTTTAATATTTGTTACTCTTTAATAAAATAAGTCAGTCATTTGTTTATTTTGAAAACTTTTTTGAAACTAATTTCAGTTCTGATTTCAAGTCGTTTGAAGTACCTTTGTGATCCTTAGGATTCACTTGGATCTGTCAGGGTATTGTTTTGTCGCAAAACTCTCAAATTGTACTTAAATAAAGCTAAAAATATTAAATAAAAATACATATTTTGTTTATATACATGTATATGTATTATAAATAGCGATCTTACAGCTGCACCCTCACCAACACTTTTCTATATAATTAAATTTATTTAATATTTGTAAAGCTTAGCAATTAATAAACCATTAAACAATATTGTTTATCTGCACCTTGAACAGATTTTCCATATTATTATAAACATCAAATAAAAATTTTTGTCATTTAAAAAAAAGCGATTTCAATCAAATGATTTGCCATTTGCACAAACATTCTACAACTTTATGAATAACTTGAACTTAAAATATGTATTCAATGCAAAAAATCTTCAAATCTACATATTTAGTTATCTTCTTAGCTTTAACATTTGCAAGAAATAAATTTCACAATTTTCTTTAAGACAATGAGACGGGCCAAATCGCTTCTTCTCTTGTGCGCTGCGAAAATTTAGAAGGAAAACAATGGAAGCTTTGGGACAATCTTGTCACGACGTTGTGCGGATCTCACTACCAAACATGCCACGCCGCGCAGCAACTTTGACATTTTGACCTCATCGCTCACCGACTCAAGCACCTTACCGCTGTCTGACTTAGATTAAAAACACAGATTATTTCTACTAAACATTTAAGCAAATAAAATTTTCTATATTTTATGCTCAGGCTAAAGATATTTTTAAAAAATATTTCAGTTTTTCAGTTTTACACGAATTGATTGCAAAAATTAAGGAGACTACAACGCCCTCTTATTGGAGAACACATATGCTATATTTAGCTTTTAAATAAATGCTTTCAAAATTAATAGATACAAAGGTTTGAAAAAGTTTTATAAATAATTTTGTTGTCAAATTTTTTACAAAAAACATTTACATATAACATATCTGCACTGCAACGCAATACGTTGTTCTGGTGTTCCATTTTCTTTGCGTCGTGCTCATTTAATATCAAAGCTTAAATAGATAAGTTTGTTGCTTCGAATATTCACTAAATATTTCATAACTAAATGTTCATTACGTTGTTCTTCAATTTCATTTGGCTTAGATTTCTAGTTATATTTCTAATGCAATCTAAAATAAAAAAAAATATATATTACAAAACGGTATAACCTGAAAACATATAGTTGAACTACTTAAGACCAATCCTATCTCCGGGTTAGCAAATAAGGAGGTCTAGCCTTTCAAGTTGGGGGTTGATCGCAAGGCCAGCAACGCTACGCAACCCTTTTAAGGGAGACCAAGGTTCATACTGGAATGTAGTGCCAAATAAGAAGAAGAATATCTTACAAAAATATTTTACATTCTGTATATCCCAAGATCTTCCATTCAAGCCGCTGAAGAAATCGGTATTTTCCTATGTATAGAAGGTCCTATTTGCTTTGAAATGTTTATTATATTTTTATATTAAAGAGAAAATTGATTTCATTCTTATTAATAATTGTATTTCATTTTAAGATAATTGTTCATTTATTTTCTTACTGATTTAATATCTTATGAAGTCACTTAAAAACCTCATAAATTATTATATATTTAAATAAACAGCAATACGACCAATATGAATACTTAAAATATATTAGTTACAGCAAATATTTTAATTAACTATGCAATAGTTAATGTGTTTAGCGACAAAAACCCGTTTAAATGCGCTTCAAATGATTAGATGGAATAGGACTTGACATTTTACTTTTGTCATATAAGTTTGAGTATACAATTGATTAATTTTAAATAATATTTTTAGATAATAGATAGTTTTTGCTACGATTTTGAAACCATCAATAAAACAACCAGATTACACAAAATGCAACTTATATTAATTATATATCTTTTACATTAAAATGTATATATTTTTAGGCAGGTTTACTCACAGGTCATTACATTTTAGGTAACCATGCTAGAAGATTGAGTCTCCCTTTCGATCATACGTGCCGCAATTGTGGAGAGGACGATGAAAGTGTATTCCGTCTGCTTTGTACATGGGTTCAAAATTTTTAGCTTTCTTTTAATTTGAAGTATTCCCCCATTTTAGGACTTATATATTTTGAAGCCAATATGGTAAAGTTGGCCCGCCCACTATACGGTATATATAGTATGTGTTTCTTATTTTATTATTGCTAAGTTTATTTTCGAAATTTAAATTAAACTTTATTAAGAAAATTAATATCCAAATAGTTTTTAAGTTTATATACTTTATATATATTTATTATATACTGTTGTTATCTACTAAAGTACTATTGAAAGGATTAGTTTAATAAGTGAAATAAAACAGCAAAATTATCAACAAAATAAAATAATACAAAATAAAAATAAATTAAAACCATATATATTTTTATTTTATATTTTTTTATATTATATTTTTTATTTTATATATATATTTATATTTTTCCATTTTATATTATTTTAATTAATTGAATTTTTTTTAATTTTATTAATCAAAAAGAACTATTTTTAGATTTTTCAAAAGTTATGGAGTTGCTTTTAATTTTAAAATAATTCTTAAAATTCATTTAATTCAAATTTCCATGGAAGTGGGTTACTAGGTCAGCTTCGCATAAATTTGAACTAATCACGTAAATTTAGCAGCGGAAACTAAAAGTGACGTACAGAACAACTCCTTCCTCCCCTTTTTTAATTGTTAAGTAATATAATTCTATTTTCTATCATACAATATACATATACAAATATACAGATATATACATATATATATATATGAACTTAAGTGTGAGCTTGATGCTAGCAAATTCATCTCAATAAATTTATATCTTAATCGTTAAGGTGTTGACTTTCATATGATGTTAAATGCATGGATGTACGAGTATGTATGGATGATATATACATATATGTATATTTTAATACTAAATTATTTACTTGCACTTTTATTCGCAGTTACCGGTTGCTACCGCTGCCAATGCAGCCGTCAACGATGCTGTTGGCGTTGCATTGCCTTTGTTAAACTATTAGAAAATCACAGCGTAGCATCTGCTGCTTTGGTATCTTCATGTGCAATGGCGTTGCAGTCGTATTTGCTGTGCATCTTAACAACTATTTTAGTGCTTTTTTAATATTATTTTTATAACTATTTTTTATTTACTATGCACTGCATTTGCAATACATTTTGTATAAATACCGCCAACAGCCGGTACACGAGATCATAGAAAAATCTTTTGTTCAATTAACAACTTCTTGGTTTGAAAAACGTCGCGAGAAGTGTATCTTATAGTCGAACTGCCAGCTCCAAGGATATCCTTAATTTCTGTGACCAACAAATAATTCAAAAAAA